CGCGACTGACGTGACCTAGAGCTCTAGATTTACAAGAGTAGCGCAAACCTTTGTTGGCGTTTTCGCCCTTCTTTTTTTCGATCGCCATTTTAGACCTATGTTTGTGACGACAGCTTTAGTGACAGCTAGGATCGCGCGCGATTTAAAATTAACGTTTAATTAATTTTTGTAAATCATCGACTGCAACAAGTATAATTTACAAAGCGTGATTAACATTGAATTAAAAAGAGAGTGTAACCAATGCATCTGCTTGATGCTAATAAATGTAATCTTAAATGTAATGGTATACACTTGATATACAATCAATCTTGTCATACAATGAAGGCAACCTGTATCTCAATCTTCACATAGTGTGAAGACAGCCTATATCTCGTTCATATTTTGCACCGTGCTGTACAGGTCAAGAATGGCGGGCAGTTTGCGCTACTCTTGTAAATCTAGAGCTCTAACGTAACCCTCTCGGCTCGGATCTAGCATCCCTATCCACAATCCACAGCGCAATAGAGTGTTTAGATTCACTTCAATGCCTCGTGTGTCACCGTAAATCACGTTATCCTTTTATTTAACGATGATTGATAAGAACAAAATAGAATCACTCTAAAGGCGCCTTTACATGTCAGCTTCATGTGCACGCACTCTAGAGTGACTCTTGAGGCGCGTTCCGTTTCACGTAACATTTTAAAAACCTGACCGAAAACCGAACCGAAAAGCGGACCGAAAACCGGAAAAAAGTATTCGGTCCGGTTACAGTTTCGGTCCGTTTGTTTGTACAATATTTCGGTCCGGTTTTCGGTTTCGATTCGACTAAAATAACGGTTATGAATCGGTTATCGGTTCCGGTTTCGATCCGGTCCGGGCCCTGCTAGCTAATAACTAAAAAGTGACTCACTGTGTCTGACCCACCAACTGGTCAACATCAGGAACTGGTTCTTGAATTATTTATGATAATGTTTGCGATACGGTACTTTGTAATCGTGGTGAGCGTCCCTATTTTCGGGATAATTAATTATATTATTAAAGTTTTTTGATCAATTAGTTTCTATATTCTTTAATTCGGCGTTTTTAATATTTCCCTTCTTTTTCATTTTCCTTTTCTTTCTTTTTATTTAATTCTGGCATTGAAATTCTCGATGTAGGGGAGCTCACCATGACAGGA